TTAACATCCCTTGCTATCAATGGGCTACACTTCCTTGATGAAGCTGCTCCTAAGTACGGCCCCATATGCCAAATAATACAAGAGCACCCACTTGTTAGTAAAAAAAAAAAAAGTAAATGAATCACATAAATATAATAGAAATGCTTCAAACAAGCAGACAAAAATCAGTATCAGACTCAAGTAATGATAGTCCCACCAAAAGAAACAGATTATTTAATATATAAGGGGATTAACTGATTAATTAATTAGTTAAACCAACACTCTAACTTCTTTAACTAGATAGAGAAAGGAGGTTTGATCTGCTGCCTGAACACGGGCAAAGGGCAGAATCTTCAGGTTTGACAAAGTTAAGAATTAGTGGTGTTACCTTGGGGATGTCAATTATCTGCTATGTGTTTCTGTTAATTCCATTAGCTAGCAGCTCTTACTTACCTCACAAGGATGCAGAGCTGATTAATAAGAGTCTTATAAGCTGTTCCTTTGAGATAGTGGGTAAAAGGCACTACTTAAGTACAATTCATTCTTCAGGAATTGCAGGCTCTGCTCTCAGGACTAAACAATAAATAGCACTACCCAGAGGCAGCTGCAGTTCAACGTAAAAGTTTGCACAAATCCCCTCCCTCCCTTCATCTTTCCCTTTCTCCTACCCCATCCACTGCCAACATCATAAAACAGGTGGGAGCCTTAACATGATAAAAATTTTAAAGCATCAGAGGTGTACACAGGAAAGGCATCCTTGAAATACAAATCATCAAATTTTTGGAATAAAGCAAAATGAGGGGGGAAATTCCATATAAATGTAAATGAAATGTAATTTTAAACAATGTCATACAGAAGTTCACTTGGCACACACATTCATACCCCAAAATAAACAAATAAACACCAGCAGCCAAAGTTTTAACAGCCCTATGTTCTGGAGAAATATCTGTGATGGCTTTCAGCACCTATATTTTTAATCTGCAGACAGAGATCAGCTTGGCTTCCTAAATTCTGCTAACGGTGGAATAACTGTTTTGTGACAGGTTATTTAACAGGCAGGCCACACAATGACAAGCTCAGGCTGGATAGCTGAGGCAGCAGAAAGACAAGTCAGTCTGTACACATCAGACAATTCCAAAAAGGCAAACAACTCAAGTCCTGTTTTCCCACGATGGAAAACCTCATGATACAAAGAAATTGACAAAATTTGGATGTCTACTCTTGTGGGAGTGATGGAGAAAAATCTAGATCCGTTTACACAAATAATATCTATATGGAATTATTTAAATCTTGTCTTAACTTTTATTCCATGGTTTTACACTGACCTTTCTTATGCACATTACATGTGGGCTGGAAGAAAAAAAATTTTAATAGACTTAATCATGAAGGTGAATTTGGGAGGGATTTCCCAGTACCATAACTCCATTGAAACAATTCAGGAATAACTGGGACTATACAATTTTTCTACTACCTCAGGAAATTCACTACAGCAGGGGATTCTATTCACCTAGGAGAAACAGTCTTAGTTCTTTTACTTTTTATATCAGGGTCCAACACATGAAGTTAATGAGTCTTTTACTGCAATTTCAGAAGCTATTTCATTTACACACCTCTTCCTCTACAGACAATCACTAAACCATTCTGAGGGCTGGGATTAAATTTTATGGTTCGTCGACAGAAAGAATAGAATCCCAAATCACCAACCCATGTATAATTGTTAATTTCCCCCCACTTGTTTCTACATGGTCTTTGTACTTTTCTACTGCCACCAGTTCAAAACAAACCTCCTGAATTTTTTCACCTGGGGCTACACTTCTGGGGTCAAGAGGGAAGATCTGTCTGAAATCATCACTTAGTTGAATCTGCCAATCTGGGCAATCACAGAGGACTAGCTATTTGGAAGGATTACAATGTCATGAGAAAGCATCACATCAATTAATAAAGCAGGCAAAATGATGGAAAAGAATATCATCCATTTTTCTACATGGTACTTGGCACTTGACCAGATTCTCTCTTCACCAAAAGTTTCCAGTCTTCAGGGCCTTTCCACATGCATACCAGTACTTCCTAACCTGCTTAGGCACAAGATTCCTAGGTATTAAATTATAAATTCCTTAAAGGCAGGGATTGTCTTTGCGTCTTCCTCAGTCCCTGTCCTAGTACTCTGCCTATGGCAGGCACAGTACCTATTGAACGAGCAATTGCTCAACAAATCCCAGATTAATGCTATACAGTGCAATGGACTGATTGCCACTTATAGGTTGCTCACTGCATTTCTACATAGTATCTTGCTTTTAAGGGTTCACAAGATCAAACAAGATAAATCAATAAAAAATTTAATTAAAAAGAGTTCATACAATTATAGATGTGGATTAGATTACAGATTCATTACAGATTTGGATTTAGGAAGGAGCTTCAGGATCCAAGCCCTTAAATCCAATTCCTTCATTTTGCAAATCAACTAGGAACTAGGTGACTTGCCCAAGATCCAGATTCATTTTAACAAATATTAAACACCTACTATGTGCAGGGAATTGGGGATACATATATTTAAAAATACAGCCTCTGCCTTACAGACATGTTCCCAAATACTCGCAGCTAGGAGGTAGTGGATAGAGAGCTGGGCCTGGAGTCAGAAGATCCAAGTTCAAGTTTAGTCTGGAATGGTATGGCTGCTTCTAGCTTTGTCACTTAATCTGTCTGCTTGGTTTCCTATACTACATAGTTTCCTATATGATATGGCTTCCCAATTATAAAATGGGGATTAATAACAGCACCTACCTCCCACTGTTGTGGTGAGGGTTAAATAAGATCATATTTGTAAAGTGCTTAGAACACTGCCTGATACGTAGTGGGTCCTTAAAAAATGCTTGTTTCCTCCTTCCAAGTAAATGTCAGAAAATTATTAAATCCATAGAGTTCAAATAACATTTAGCTTGAAAAACTGCAGGAAAAGAGATCACTTTTTAGCTGGTGGCAGAGATTAGGGAAAGCAACCAATTTAAAGCTTTTCATAAAAATATGAATTCACTTCTCCATGCATTAATATTTGTGTTGTCTTTTCCTATAAGAAAGTGAGCTCCTTAAGAACAAGGACTACCTTGCTATACTATTTGTATTCCTAATACTTTGCTCTTGGTTCTCTTAATAGCATAATACATGCCTTTTCATTCACTCATTCATGAATTATTATTGTTTTTAAACAAACTTTGTAATACAGAGAGATGGGAACTGGACTGTGAAGCATGTTAGTCTGTAAAGTTGAAGTTTTCATTTCTGTCCCTCTAGATGGGGCAAACTGATTTAAGTGGTCAAGTGATAGCCTAGATACATCTGATAACCCATCCAACAGAGAATGAATGAAATAACCATACCATTCCAGGGTCAGATTAAAGGAGGAAGTTCAGTGCCAAAACTTGTCAGTTTCTAACTAGCTCTGCTTGGTTACAAGGAGACATGACTCTTGCTACAACTAATCACACAAAGGGAAACTGAGATGTATCTGATATCTTTAAGTGCGAATTTAACTGAGAGTTTGATCAGACAGTGAATGTCAGCATAATGATGGGTTCTTTGCTTTTTGGATAGGATAGCACAATTTTTAAAAGCTAGAAAGCCATTTCTAAAAAAAATTAAAAACACAAAATCTGTGCCAGTATACAACAGTGCATTCTACAATAGGGCTTTCCTTTTTCTCCACTGCATGTTTCATCGGGAGCACTGAATTTGGTTCACACTGATAGTAACATTTCAATACAGATCTGGATAAAGAAAGCTAGAATCCTGTGCACGGTAAAATGATGTGTGCCTAGTTTGGTTTTCATGTTTTCTATATACTAATCCCTTAGTCGTTTAAAAAAAGAAAAGCAAGCATCGGTACAACACGAGGAAGAGGCCCTGGAAAATTAACGCGCACCAGGGAACATGTTTCACTTAGCCGTGGGATGAAGCAAAAGGAAACAGCTCAACCAGTTGTTAAGAAATCGAGAAACAGAGAAAACGTGAACATGACTGGCTCCTAGGGGAAGTACATACACATGACAAGTTTCTACTCTAGGGGGAATTAGGTTACAGAATAAGTGTGGTGACCCACTCCCCAAAAGAAACACAAAAAGTGTAGGTTACATTCGGCATAAAAACTGAGGTCCCCCCCTCCCCCGTAGAGTGAAAGACGAGAAAGAACAGAGACAGACTGAGGGGGAAGGGAAGGAGAAGAGGAGAGGGAGACTGCAACTAGTGTCATGCAGCTGAAAGGACCTCTAAGAAACAAGTTAAACTCTTGTTTCTACAAAATATATGGCATTTTAGATGCAACAGCCTCTCTCTTCCTCTCCTCCCCATCGCCTTTTGTCTTTTTCCGACCCTCCTCCCCAGAAACTTCCCAAGGAACTGGGCTGAAGCTGCTGCAGTTGGACAAGGGAATCCACTTGAATGAAAAGGGGACCAAGAAGAGAGGGGAGGGAGGGAGGGAGAAAGCAATCTGCCTTTTAAAGGCCCCTGGGGTCTGATGAGCCTCCACCTTGCAGTTTCTATATCTCAGCAGCTAATTACAGCAAAGGGGCCAATTCTTGCTCTGTGCTTAGAAAGGACCCTACCGCGGAGTGAAGGGCAGGAAGGAGAAATAGGTTTAAAACGACGGGGAGAAATTAAGTCTCCAATACTTTCTCTCCGGGAGAGGAGTCAAAGGAAAAAATAAATTAAATTAAAAGGTTTCTTCCTTGATTTCCGCCCCGCAAACAGCCCCGGGGATAGAGGAGGTTTTAAGTCAGGCGCATGGTACAGACAGACAAACCAGACAGACAAGACTCTACCGGGAAGAGGTCCTGGGGAAGTGAAAGGAGGACGGAATAGGGCAGCACGGACCTCGGGGCAAGTCAGGAAGAAGCCGGGGAAGGGGGGTATCAAAGGAGTCCCATTTCAAGTCAATTTCCCAAAGGAGAAAGGAGCGGGCGCCCTGAGCGCCAGGACCCGGGGTGCGCAGGGACCGGGGACCCGGAGCCTGGGGCTCGCTCTTCACCCACCTTCTTGCCGGCTCCGCCGCTGCTCCCGCCGCCGGCCAGCGCCGTGCTGCCCCCGGAGTACATGTAATAGGCAATGCCCAGCACCCAAAGGAAGGCGAAGCAAAGCAGCATCCGCGATCGCCGCCGCATTCTCCCGAGTCGGCGGGGCGCTCCAGCCGCCGGGGCTGCTCCGGGAGTCCTCCCTCCGGCCGGGGAGAAGGAGGAGAAGAAGGAGGAGGAAGGGAGAAGGGGAGGGGGCGGAGGGCGGCGGCAGCGGCTCCCGCGGCTCCTCCTCCGGCCGTGGCGGCGCTGGCGGCAGCGGCGCTGGCGGCGGCTGCTCCTCCTGCAGCAGCAGCAGCGGCGGCGGCAGCGGCGGCGGCGGCGCCCGAGCCAGCTCCCCCCGCCCCTCGGGTGTGCGCAGCGGCTCTGCCGTCTGCAGCCTCCCCCGCCTCCCTCCTCCCCTCCCTCTCAGGCCAGAGGCGGCGGCGGCGGCGGCGGCCAAAGCAGGAAGAAGCGGCCCACATCAGCACCGAGAGGGGTCAGGGAGCAAAGGGCGACCAATCCGCGGCTGCTGTGGGGGCTGGTGGGTTGGGACGGGAGGAGGGGATTAGAGGTGTCTCCATGGCTGCAGCACGCTGGGGCTCAGCCGGGGGAGGGGAGCAAGACAGGAGGAGGAGAAAAGAAGAGCGCTCCCCCCAGCCGTTCTCCCACTGGGTTCCTCCCCACTTCCCCCCTTCCTCTCCTTCTCCATCTCCTCTCCCTGCTTCTCTCGCTCTTTCTCTCCGCTCCACTTCTCTACTTCTCCTCTCCCTCTCTCTGCTTCTCCTCTCCCTCTTTCTATCTCCTCTTCTCTCCCTCTTTCTCTCCTCTGCGCCTCCTCTCCTTTCCTCTCCCTCTTTCTTCTCTTCTCTTTCTGTGCTCTCTTTCCTTATCCCCCTCTCCCCAGCTCCCGCACACACGCCAGCCTCTCCTTTCTCCTTTGCACGCGCACACTTTCAGCCAGGGTGAATGACAGGAGGTCCCCTCCGCTAGCCGAACTCAGCACGCGAGCGATTCGGAAACACTGGCCCCTCCCTCTACTTCCAGCTACGCTTCTCGTAGGCTTGGGTCACTCTCGCCTCTCGGGAGTGCTTTGAAGTTCTCAGAGAGCTTTGCAATTATTAGCCAGGAGTCCTAAATTCTTTTGTCCAGGCCCACGCGTGGACCTGACTTCCCCACCACCACCACCACCACCACCACTACCACTACTTTTCCCCTGGCTTCTCTTCGTTTCCACCACTTCTTCCTTCCCCCACAGTGCAAAGTTCCCATTCTCCAGGTGGTGTATTTTTGGAAGAGATGTTGAGACTTTGTGGGTAAAAGCTAAGGAAGTAATTTCTCAGAGCTGATTTTTTAAGGGGTCCGAATGTTGTTGTTGTTGTTGTTGTTGTTGTTGTTTTTTAATGAACATGGAGTAAAGGGGATTTAAAAAAATCTTTTCTTTAGGTACCTCAGAGATCGGTTTTTTTCCCCCCAAGGAAATAGTGGCTAACAAATTTAACATCTTTCAATAGGTGTGAAACCAGAACCCTGTCTAGGAGAGAAAAAGAATCAGAGTTAAGATAAAAAACTATCAGTGTTTGAGACTGTCCTTCAAAACAGGTCAATGGGAGTTCAATGCTTCTTATATAAGACTTTAGACAGTACAATTATCATCACTGTTTTGCAAGTGAGGAAATTGAGTTACAAAAAATTAAAGTGATTTCTCCAAGGTCACATAGCTAGCTAATGCTAGATTCAGGACCGGAACCCAGCTCTTCCAATTTCTAGTCCCAGCATTCTTTCTGCTAAGATAGCTGCCCCTCTACCTATGTTGGCAGCAAGCATAATTTAACAGTTTGAACAAGGTGTTTTTAGCACATGGTTAATTTTACCATCCTTTTCCTTTCCTCCTCCTTTCCTCCTTACTCGTAAACAACTTGTATTTCTTGTAGCATTTTTTAATGTAATGGGTTGTGTAATAAACTCTCAATAGCTGTTGTTTTACCCAGATTACCCTTCAATCATAATACCTTGCTGAATAGGATCATGGCTCTCATCTATCAATGTAATATTTTCATTCCAAAGGCCCTTAGGCCTTTTTTTCCCGGACAATACACAATAGTAACTTCAGCTACTTGTAGCTACCCATAAATATGGCTACAGTATTTCTTTTGTACTTTCAAAATGCTAGTCAACTGATTTCAGAGATACCCTATGAGGAATAAAAGCTTCTTAAGATGTTAGGGGTGGCTAGATGGCAGTGAATAGAGGGCCTGGAGTCATGAAGACTCATCTCCCTGAGTTCAAATGTGGCCTCAGACACTTAGTTGCCAGGTGACCCCAATCAAATCACTTAACCCTGTTTGCCTCACTTTCCTCATTTGTAAAATGAGCTGAAGAGGGAAATGGCAAAATACTCCAGTATCTTTGCCAAGAAAACCCCTGATGGGGTCAAGGAAGTGTCAGACACCAGTGAAACTACTCAACAACAAAAGGATGTCATTTTCCAATTAACCAGCCAGTGAACATTCCCTAACAAGGAAAACATCGGAGGATATGGGAATGTATGCATGTATGTATATACATATCCACGTGTCTACATATACATATGTTTTTGCATGTGATTTCATCTGTGTAGGGAGCTCCTTTTAAGGAAACTCCTTCAATTTATTGTCATAGAATGTTACCTAGGGCACTGAAAATTTCACTGGTTTGCTCAAGGTTATATAAATAGTGTGTATCAGAGACAGAAGTTAAACCTACATTTTTCCTAACTCTGAAACTAGCCCCCCCACACACCCCCCTTTTAAACATTTAAACTGTTAAATAACAACTTATTGAAAGTATTAAAACCATGTGTGTTAAATTTGGAACTCAAAATCTTGTGGAAGTGAATATTGAAAACTAAAAATAAATTAATGAATCTTTTAAAAAATTAAAAATTAAAAAAATAAAACCGTATGTGATAGAAAGCCAAAGAAAAGCAGTACAATTATAGACTGCCAATGCCATACCGCTGGTAGGTCACAGAACCATGCAACAAAGTTGATCTTCAGTCCTTTCAAAGTGACCTTGTAAGTGAAATAGATAGGTAGATGGGATTGATACTTAGTTGCTAGTGGATAGAAGACTGCACCCCACCCTCTACCACTCCAACCCCAAATAAGCTGAACTCACAAAATGTTGGGTCAGTGAGTAGTACCAGATTCTGAAATTGAAAGCTAGCAGCAATCCACACACAATGAATAGGATTAGTCCTCTACTGGGGACCTTCCCAGAAATAATCCATCCTACATTGTCATTTGGAAATTGTTCTTTGATAGGATTAAGGTTCCAGGAAATAACTATCCTAAAATGCAGTTAGGGTAAAATAAACTATAATCTGGGAAAATAGCATGTTATAAGAGTATGTTGTAATGGCAAATGAAAAGGAGAAGATGGATAATTCTTGAAGAGTCTAGAAAGCTTGCTTTGACAATAAAATAAAAGGTTGAATTATGTGATAGCCAAGGTTCCTTCCAACTCCCCAAATCCTATGATTCAGAGGAGCATGGGACAGTGTAAAGATCACTGAATTTGGAGTCACAAGAGCTAAGTTAAAGTCCTGACTCTGCCACTACCTATGTGACCCTGGGCAAAGCATGTGACCTTTCTGGGAATCAGGTTTCTAATCTGTAAAATTAACAGGTTGGATCAGATGTCCTCTAAGATACCTTCTAACTCTAAAGCTACGATCCCCAAAAGGAAAGATGGAGAATGAGAATCTGTCAATATCTCTCTATCACTCACTAAAGACTGTGCCTTAACTCTAGGTGACTACATTATTTAGACGAAAATACTCCCTACAGAATATTATGGTGCTGTAAGAAATGATAAAAGAATTTCAGACAATCCTGGTTAATATCAACTGACACAAAGTGAAGTAAGCACAACCAAAGAGAACAATTTATACAAGGACAATGAAACTATTTTTTAAAAAAATCTTTGAAAAACAGGAACCCTGATCAAAGCTATGACCAACTACGTTTTCCAGCAGGCCTATGATGAGGCATGAAACTCACCTTCTGAAAGAGAGGTAATATACATAAAGGTGCAAAAAAAAAAAGTTTTGTAGGTGACTGCTGTGTAGGATCCTTTTGCTTTTCTTTGCTTATTTGTTACAAAGTTATCTTCCTTCCCCTTCCTTTTTAGTAACAAAGAGAACAAAGTCAGGAAAGAGAAAAGGTTAACAATGGTGATTAAAAAAACAAACAATTGTAACACATTTAAAACTGCCCAGAAGAAAACAAAAAGAAGTTCAGAAGGAAGCACAATCAGGACAGCTTTGAAAGTAGCATTAATTTGTTACATACTTTTTTACAATGAATAGTATGAAATAAATATTCACAGTTTCATATGTAGAGAATGCTCTTTCTTTGTGTTTTATATCTGAAATGCTCTTTTTGGAAGCACCCAAAGATATTGGTCCTGTTTGAGAAGGAAGGATGAACAACCCCTCCTTTTGAGAGGTTTAAGTACAGGGTTTTATAATATTTAACATAATAACTTATATGTACACATACAGATACATGTATACACATATCCAGTGGAAGGAAAGTGAAGATGGAAGCCTGATCATGTTTCATATTTGCCTAAATTAATAAAATCAAGTTTCTGCACTTTCAAAGCTGAGGACCAGACCGTGGGGGTTAGCCCACCAACAGGAATGCCTTAGTCTAATGCCTTTAAGGACACATTAGAGTAGAATGTATGTTCCTTGAGGCCAGAGACAATTTCATTTTGTCTTTTTACTCATGTTCCCTAGCACAGGGCATGATATAATCATTCAATATATTAAGATGAATTTCCTGGACCTATGTTCCTCCCCTCCAAAAAATCAGTCTGGTTTCTGTCAAATCACTGGAGCTGCAGGTTTGGACTGGTACAAGCATAAGGAATCTTTTCTAGGCTGAAGCAATTCTAAGGACTTTTCCCAATGAACTCAAGAAGTCCATCTGGATAAATCATCAGAGGTTAGAGCCTGGCACAGGGATTCAGAACTTCTCTAGCAAAGTTTTGTGGCAGATCTTGGTACTCTAAACTAACCCTTCCCATCACTCTGCTCTAGAGTACACACAAAATATCCCTTTTAAAACATTTTTAATTTCTTTTATACATATGTTTTGTTTTTACAGCACCTTTACTTCCCAATGTATCCCTCCTCCACTACCCAGAGAACCACCCCTTATGACAAAGAATACAAAAGAAAGGGGGAAGTGGGGGCAGAAGGTGAAAGTATTT